GCTATATATACAAGATTACAAAATACTGATAAAAATATAGCATCCTATATATACTTACATATGAGTGCGTAATGTTGTGGCAGAGAGGTGGTGCACGTCTTGATGGTTGTGAGTTCAAATCCTAAAAGACACTCATTTTAAGTCTTCATAGTGACAAGCCTTGTGTAAACTAAGGTAGACTTTCCTCAATAAAACCATTGTCAAGTCTCATAAATTGTTTAATTTATTGTTCTTTCTAAATTCAAATTTGGGGTCATCTTATACATTCTATTATGGATTCATAGTTGTCTTTTTTGACCTAAAGTATCTCCATATTCACCACAATATTGTTTAAGCACCTGTTGGTTGACTCTATCATTGCGCCAACTGGAAGATCTTGTGAGCACCCACCCAAGAGGATACAGTGAATTGGGTGTTCAAAATTCAAACTTAAACCTAGGGCTCAATTTAATCTATCACTAGAAAAATCATAAACTACTCTTAGCAACATGTGCACTTAAGGTTTTTCTAGTGTGCTCTAACATACCCTCAACCAAAAAGAGTTTTGCAACCTAGAGCCAACCCTATCAACTAGCCTATAGCTCATCTAGCAAGTTAAATGACACATAAGCAAAGCATGAGGTCTATCAATAAACATGGTAAGTAAAGATCTAAGTATACAGAGGCTAAACTCCTAGAAATGTGAAGATATATCCTGTGTGTTGACAACCAAATTTGTAAGGAAGCCTAAATGTAGTATTTCTAGCAGAAACAAGCTTAGTTGGTTTCCTAGATTGGCTAAGTAGGTTTTGACACTTTGTCAAAAGGCATAATGGCTATCATGTTTCTCTCATCGAGGCGATGAAAAAATATTTATGGATCATCTCGTTTGGAGCCCGGATGAAGAAAAGACAGTTTCGAAGGGGCTAGTAAAAAAACAAGCTTAGGCGGTTACTAAAACAGGCTAGGCTGGTTTTTTCGACTTCTTTAAACTGAAGAATGGATTGTACCATTGCATTCCTCTCAATGAGCTGGTCAAGAAACATATATAGATCCATAATTTGGAATCGAGAAAACAAATTAGGATTTTGAAAGGTTTTTGCTCTGGACCCATAAAGACCATCCAGGCGTTTTGAAAACCACCTAGGCTGGTTTTCATCCTGAGCCTGAGTTAAATCTAACTTGATGGAAACTTGCCCAATGTCATGGGAAAGTGTATATTTTGTCTGGGACTTGTTTTCTATTGGGATAAGACCCCCCTCTATATACATCAGAGGATCACAACCAATGAGGTATCCCAACTACACTATTGATAAAAGCAATTTACTATCTCTCTTTTGCCCTTCCAACCTCCATGTTGTTGTTCATCGCTTGACGACCAAGGATAGTGCCCTAGGCTTGCCGATTGACCTAGAGCAACCCGATGACGTCCTTGCCCCGAAGGGGTCCCTCAGCTCCCGGCGATAGCTCCGACGACTTCTTTACTAGTTTGCTCAGAAACTAGTTGTTCTTCATCACATAAGCCTGATTGGTTATCCTTTGGTGGTTTGCTCACAAACAGCATAGTTCTTCACTATGAAAGCGTGATATCTACTGCCCTTCGGCGTTCTTGGGCCCGAGAGAACTGCCTAGGCCGGTTTTGCCAGAACCTCTCCGCCTCAGTCCGTTTGTGCCCCGTGCGTTCTAGCACTTGTGGTGTGTGACCGATCTTGGATCAACACACTTTTTCGTGACTCTGGGGAATGATAGCTTTGGCTCTACTTTGTAGTTGAATCTTTCTACCCTAGCCATATTCTTGATTGATGTATTTTCTTGTGTTCGCCATCACAGTTGCATCTGGCCCAAAAGGCTGATCACATCTGGTTTTGACCCCTTGTGATATAGTTGTTGTTTTGCAACGTATTGCTCTTATTATTGTAAAAATCAACAAGGCGGTCAAAGTCTAGATCATGGAGTACCAAGGTGTGGCATCGCAATATTACTATGACTACCCCGAGGTACAACTTGCGAATACATCACATGATTCTAATTATATCATTTTGCATGTTCTATGAATTCTTATGTTGGTGTTGCTAGTGATAACACTAGTAGATATGTTGCATCGGCTAATACTTATGTTGCCAATGATCTTCATTATAGACATCATAATTCCGAATATCATGTTCAAGAGTCGATGTCAACTACGAATTTTTTGAGCCTTAATGCTGCTAGCAACATACTTCCACCATTCCAAATTATAAGACCCTTTAGCTTTTTTAGATGTATTGAATTTACTATGTATCTAGACGTAAGTGTATATATCTTGATGCATAGCAAAATCTATATATCTAGAAATACCAAAACGTCTTATAATTTGGAATAAAGGAAGTACAACATACCGCTACTACAGTAGACTTGAAGGAGGCGGGCAAAATTAATTAACCGAGGCGGGCAAATCGTCCGCCTACGTCCAAAGGTCATGGTTAATCTAGCATTAACCGGCCCAACTGCCTGGGAGCCCCAAAACCAAATGCTTGGTTAAATTTTTATGTAATAAGTAGCGTACATATTCTCGTTTATCAGTTACAAATTCAAAATATGTGGTTCCACCATAAAATATTTTGATGAATAAAAGAATTGGCTATGAGAATAATAGCTATGTAGCTAATTACTTTTAATTCTCGGAGACGGCAAAAACTTCACACCTGCCTTGGTCTTTGTCAACTGAAGAGGAACTCAAGCGTCATTGGACGGTAGACAAGACCAGCCACCGGCCCATCTGAGACGCCAAGGTTACCCACCCTACCCATGCTGCTCCGACTTCTAGAAGGCCATATATCTGTTGCGTCCTCAACGAGACGACAGGTGATACGGTTGCTCGACGACAGCGACGCCGACGATCGAGGCCAGTACATGGTACTCCGTAGTTTGGAGTTGTTTTCTGCCAGTTACATTGAGCCCTGGTTTAGTTCCACCATAAAACGCGCAGGTGATATCGAATGGTTGCTCGACGATTAACAGAAAAAAAACTAATCGCGGTTTGGTGGAAAATTGCGAGACGAACGTTTTGAGCCTAATTAGTCCATGTTTGAACACTAATTGCCAAATAAAAACGAACGTGCTATAGTAGCCCCAAATTCCAAATTCCTGGAACTAAAGAGGCGCTGAAGATATTTCTTCGCCTTTGCATATGCAAGCGGTTCCAGGGCCAAATTCGCAGCAGCCAATGAGCCAACCGCCCAATCGATTGGTTTCCAGGTTCGCCGTATCTGCTCGCCGGCTGTTGTTGTCCTAGGTCGGCCCATGCAAATATTGCTCCGCCGGCGGGGCTCGTGACAGTGGCGGGGACCGGACGGAGGGGAGGGATCGACCGACCTGCGTGTTCGTTGAGCTGGTGCTGGTGGCTGTCTCGCAGCTTTGTTGCCGGGGTACGGTACACATGGTAGGGCAGCCGGCTGCCGGCAGCCTCTGCGCCCTGGCCCTGTTGGCTGTTGTCGTGGGCAGTCCACCAGCAACGTGGTAGGACACCGACGTAGGAACGAGGAGGGATGGAGGATTGCGCGTCAGTACGGTGGCAGCGCGGAACTGTGGATACCACTTGAAAGCTGCAGGTGCTAGTGCTGCAGCAGCGCCAGCGAACTGCGAACCGCTACGAGCCTACGCAGTGCGCGGTGGACTGGTGGAGGACGAAAAAAATGCAAAAATAACACTCGAGTGTGGATGACAAGTAGTGTGTATAAATATGAGTCCGGTATCAAATCTACACATAACCGATGTTTCTGAGTACTATTTTTACAAATCGCCCGTGGAGGACCGTGAAGACTGACGAGACTAGTGACGAGGAGGATTCGCGATCGGAGACAGAACAGGCCACAAAACAAAGGTGCAAACAGCAATGGCTGGGCTAGGACTTTCTAGGCTTCATGACAGCAGGACTCCATTGGGACAGTTTGTTCCGTGGGTCGCAACTCAAGGTCTAGTTTCTACAGAAAACATGGTGAGGGATAGCTCAAAATTGTGGCCTGGTTTCTGGACCCATCACAATTGGGCCGCAACTTGCCCAGTTGCTCAGATTAGCCAGGGACGGCCCGATGGGACAGCAACCCGATCGGCCATAAGATAAGCCCATAAACACGGTGCTTCGCGGATCGCGGGTGCGTCGTTGTTGCTCTCGGTCTCGGCCGACGCCCTGTCACTACCGCGCGGCGGCAAAGCAGCGTGCCGCGCCATGCCCCCTTGTGGGCGGCCTTGTACAGGCGTACAGCGTACCGTCCACGAGCCACCGAACCCGACGTCGAGCTCCCCTCCGACGCAAAGCTGTGGCTCCGCCTTTTCCACGCCGCGCGCGCGCGGCGGGGTAGGGTGCCATGTGCGCTGCCACCCGCCGCGGCTGCCGCGAACCTCGGGCGCGCGTGGGCGCTGGCCCCCGCCCGGCCCCGGTGGCGGTGGCCGCTGTCTGATGATGGCTGTCCGGTGCTCTGGTCCGTGCCCCCCCCTCCAGCTCCCGCACGGCCACTGCCACGGCCACGCCCAGCCCCAGCCCGTGACAGGATGACAGCAACGCCGCACCGTCGCGGGGATACGAAATTTCGCGAGCCCTGGCGCCTTGTGCCGGCGCGGTGGACCACGCGACAGCCCGCACGAGGGGCGGTCGTGTCGAGCACGTGCGTGCAAACAGCCGTTCCATTTCCACCCGGTTCGGCTAGGCTACGAGAAAAAAAGGCACAGCAAGCAAAAGCAGGCAGGTGCATGTCCATGTCCTCCTCGCAAAAAAAAAAAAAAACGTGCAGGTCCTCTGGTTGGCTGTTCCGTTGGATCTTGGGTGATATTCAACTCCCCGATCGCTAGCATCAAGCTGAAGCTCATTGGAAATGGGCCCAAGAATACGACATGAACAGTCGAGATGTAGTTGGACAAGTGCAGATGCACGAATCCAAGCTCTCTGGATGCCTATATAAGGTCCTCGGCACCACGCATCACCACACACACACACACACACACACACTACAAATACAAGTATTCCAGATAAGCACGGTCCGAGGATGGCGCCACCGATATCCGCCGATGCCTTGGTGGAGGCTGCCTCGGCCGTCGCCGCGTCGTCCCCAGCCATCGCGCCGAATGGAATGGTTCTCAAGGACGTGGCGGCGCCGGCGGCCATCTCTGTCGTCTCGAAGCAGACGGTTCGGCCTGCCGGCGCGTCGGCCGCGCTGGTCGGGGGAGACCTCAGGCTCTCGGTGTCCGACATGCCGATGCTATCGTGCCACTACATCCAGAAGGGGCTCTTCTTCCCGCCGCCTCCCGGCGTGCTCACGACGGCCTCGCTGGTGTCGTCGCTCGTGACGGCGCTCTCCCGCGCACTCGGCGTCTTCCCCGCGCTCGCAGGCCGCCTCGTCACGCTCCACGACGACAGCATCGTGATACGGTGCGGCGGCGACGACGACGCGGCCGTCGAGTTCTACCACGCCGTCGCACCGTCCCTGTCGCTTGGCGACTTCCTAGTGCCCGGCGCCGACGTGCCGACCGGTCTCACGAATGCCCTGTTCCCCATGGACCGGACGGTGAGCTACGGCGGCCACGCGCGCCCGCTCACGTCGTTCCAGCTCACCGTGCTCGGCGACGGCGCCGTGTTCGTCGGCTTCGTCGCCAACCACGCCGTCGTGGATGGCACCTCCTTTTGGCACTTCTTCAACACGTGGGCGGGGCTGTGCCGCGGCGGCGCGCCGATCCGGGAGCCCGATTTCCGCCGCAACTTCTTTGGCGACTCCACCGCCGTCCTACGCTTCCCCGGAGGCGTTGGCCCGGCCGTGACGTTCGACGCCGAGGCGCCGCTCCGCGAGCGGATTCTCCACTTCAGTGCCGCCGCGATCCGGGAGCTGAAGGCGACGGCAAACCACTCGAAAAGAACAGGTCACCAAGACGCCGAGGCTAACGGCAAGCTCGTGCATGACTCCAGACTTCATGGACGTTGTTCCTCTGAAATCTCATCGTTCCAATCGCTGTGCGCGCACATCTGGAGGGCCGTGACGCGTGCGCGGCGGCTGTTGGCTGCCGACAAGACGACGACGTTCCGCATGGCCGTGAACTGCCGGCACCGTCTGCGCCCGGCGATCTCCCCGCTCTACTTCGGCAACGCAATCCAGAGCGTGGCGACGACGGCGACCGTGGCCGAGCTGGCCTCCAACGATCTGGGCTGGGCGGCGGCCCGGCTGCACGCCACCGTGACGTCGCACGAGGACGGCGAGATCCGGCGCGCCGCGGCGGAGTGGGAGGGTGCGCCCCGTTGCTTCCCGCTGGGCAACCCCGACGGCGCGGCGCTCACGATGGGGAGCTCGCCTCGGTTCCCGATGTACGACGGGAACGACTTCGGGTGGGGCCGCGCGCTCGCCGTGCGGAGCGGCCGCGCGAACAAATTCGACGGCAAGATGTCCGCGTTCCCCGGCCAAGCGGGGGACGGTAGCGTCGACGTGGAGGTGTGCCTCGCGCCGGACACCATGGCTCGTCTCCTCCTCGACGAGGAGTTCTTGCAGTACGTGTCCTCCCCTGCACCGTGACACGGTGACAGAGTGAAGCGCCTGATGCGTTGCATGGCATGTTGCTGCGGAGCTCCATATAGTTACTGGATTTGTACCCTTCCAGTTCCAGAAGATACCAAATGCTTGTCAGCTTGAATGAGTTTGAGTGACCATGTAGAGATGATGTTCTGCTGTTTCCTTGGTGATGATGCCGTTGTAGGCTAGCAGCAGTAGTTATGGCCTCCGACTCCGAGCAGGGGTGCCAAAACGGTTATGATAGGTGGATTATGGTTTTTAGGCCCGTTTAGAACGTGGGATTTTTTATGGATCAAGGATTTCTCATGTTAAATTAAATTAAGTTAATTCTTGTGAAATTCTTGAGACAAGTACAGTGATAGATACTTGTCGATTTTTCTCTCTCTTATCCTAAGCACTGAGATAGGGTCACATACTCACATACAACATTTTAGTTGGGCAGATATATTGTATTTTTAGACAGTGGTTCAAGTAAAAAGCAGCTCACCAAACGACGTCATCTCTGTCCACCCTTCTTGTTCTTTCTCCCTTGCTGGCGGTGAAAAAAGTGAAGACATGCTCTCTTTACACGTTATGTTCGCTTGACTTATAAGTCATATTTTTTTAGTCAACGAATAATATTTTTCTCTTACAACAAATCAGCTAACAGTACTTTTAGCTATGACTTATCAGCCAAGCGAACAGAGCAATAAATTATAAGTTTATTAATTTTTTTTCTTATCTATATATGGTATGGTTTTCTAGCGGCATTGACAAGGGGTGGCAATGATAGCGAATTGGGATAAGGCTTCTCCAACCTCTTCTTACGTCGCCAACGTACGATCTAACGTAGGATATTTGAGTTTGTTTATGGTTCCTGCAATCCATATAACAAACAACATTGATCGGCCATGAGTTTGTTATCCACAACACTTGTAAAACCACAAGAGGGGGTTGTTCCACGGCAAAATGACTACATGCGTTTCTTTTCCTTGTTGTTTCAAGGTGATTTTTAAGCTCCAACAAGAGACAAACAATCGAAGAAGTGTTAGGTTCAGTCCCACATCGGTAATTGATGTTGGAGGATCACAACATATAAGGCGGGGGCAACCCTCACCTATCAGGCTAGTATTTTGGGTTGAGTTAGGCCCAAGGCCTAGGTATGTTGTGGGCTCCGGTGGACCTGGTCCCGAGGGGCGCCGGCTCGTGGGTATAGCGGGCCAGGCCATATTTCACTGCGCACTCAAGTGGTATCGGAGCCCACGGTCGAAAAATCTCATAGGTCACATGATGACGGGGGAGCCCGTTAACGTCACATGGTGATGGGGGAGCCCGTTAACGCCTCGGACGCCTCGGAGGTCACACGGGTTGTGTGTGATACGGAGCGTTGGACTCGGGGCCTGAAAAACGTCTTCCGGAGATGGGATTTCTGCCTTATCTGTAAACTTGCTGGATGCTTTGTATTTCCGTTCATCGTAATGGAAATGGGTAGTTCACGAATGGAAAAATTGATGTTGGAGGAGCACAACATATAAGGCGGGGGCAACCCTCACCTATCAGGCTAGTCTTATGGGTTGAGTTAGGCCCAAGGCCTGGGTTTGTTGTGGGCTCCGATGGACCTGAGCCCGAGGGGCGCCGGCTCGTGGGTACATGGGCGGATCTATATTGTCATTAGTGGGTGCAGCCGCATAGTTCCCGAATGGAAAAAAAAAATGATGTTGGAGGAGCACAACATATAAGGTGGGAGCAACCCTCACATATTAGGCTAGTCTTTTGGGTTGAGTTAGACCCAAGACTTGGGTATGTTGTGGGCTCCGATGGACCTGGGCCCGAGGGGCGTCGGCTCGTGGGTACATGGGCGGATCTATATTGTCATTAGTGGGTGCAGCCGCACCCACGCAAAAATAGAAAACAATGATTATAGCTAAATTTTCACTATATTCGCACCCTCAAAATAAAAGTCTACGCACCCACAAGGCAAGCGCACCCCTTAAATTTTCTCTAACTCCGCTACTGCGTGGGTATAGCGGGCCAGGCCGTATTCCGTTGCGCACTCTAACCAGAAGAGTGCTCTTATTTTTAAGATCCAATTTGATCGTTGATGTACTCTTATTTTTTCTAGATGACATTTTTTGTTAAGCTGTCTTTTTGTACTAGCTACTGTATTCTTCGATAAATATCAGATGATGAGGTACACTTTTTAATTTCTTTATTAGAAAACAGATATTTAGATTTGGAGTGCTCTTAAGGAACATAATCAACGTTAACTAGAGGGACCTTGCATGGGTGTTGCCGTGCTTTCTTGTTAGTTGTTAACTATAAACATTGTTGCAAAAAAGATGTTTCCATGGTTCTCTATTTGAAACCTGGTGGTCATATATGTATACATATGGTTCTTATCACAGACAACAACGGAAAATGTGAAACCCTGGATTGATCACCACTCTCAACGCACGGCGATTAACGGTTGGTTGCATGCTCTGCCTTCCCCTAGTCCACCTCTTTCAACGCCACGCAACCGTCGGAGACGGAGACCATCCCGTTTTTGCACTTGCTGGTGCAAGTGCAGTCGAATCCAAGCTCCGCGGCCAGGACCTCCTGGACGTAGTTGGCCACCTCGACCGGCGACCTCCCGCCGCCGCAGGTGAGCTCCCCTGGAAGCTGGTTCAGGAACGTGACCTCGTACGTTGGTCGTGGGTTCATGAAAAAGAAGTAGGGATCCATTCTCCTGAGCCCGCGCGCCGTGGACCCGTGGAACATGCCCTCCCTCGCGTCGATGGCCACGGGCACGATGCGGTCGGTGACCTCAGCGAAGAGCGCGCCGAACAGCAGCTGGAACGGCTCGCGGCAGATGGTGCCCTCGGGGAAGATGACGACGTCGTCTACCTCCTCGAGCAGCCGCCGGATGCGGGCGGCGGCGTCCGCGTCGTCGCTCTCGCAGCTGGGCACGGGCAGCGCCACGCCTGTCATGACAGGCGACACGGGCTCCGAGAACCACCTGGAGGCGCCGTCCGTGACCCATCTCATCTTGTGGCCCAGCGCGAAGGCTTACTAGAGTTCGAGTTCAATCTTTAGGGACATGAATGGATTGTGTTATTTGTAATACGAATTATCTGGTGGTTAGATACTCAGGTTAGTGAAGAGTTTCAGAACATTGTAGTTACTTATTTGTGCAGGCAAGTAAGCTAAATCTTAATCCATTGGGTACCACATTCACTTCTTCTTTTTCAGGAGAAATGTACATTTATGATTTATATTTTTCTTTCTTCCCCTGGAGTCCATAGCTCTATGTGAGCATTCCTTCTCTCTAGCTGTTTTTGTTATTACATGTCATTTTTCTCCATTAGTAGTGAATCTGTGTTGTGAGATATAGTCTCTGATATTGCATTTCTGTGTGGTATGTGTGAATGAATGGTACTATCCACCTTAACTAAGTTTCAAATAATGTAGAATGGCATTAGATTGAATTCTAATTAGGACTTTTTCCCCAGTTGCGCATTCACATTTAATTTGTTCATCTGATTTTTCTCTATGTCTGAGATTTCATATGTTATACGCAGCAGTTATAACTCTGCAACATTTGATATACTACTACATGATGGTGGTTGGAACATTCTTTTTTTTTCTGAGAACTGAAACAAAGGGCACACGTTTCTGCCAATGATTCATGGTTCATAATTTATGGCCTTTCTTGGCATTTCTCCTTACATAATCTTACAACGTATCAACTAAAACTAATTAAATAAAATCAGTAATTCAACAAGAATTGAAACAAGGGACACATCCTTTTGTCAGCAATTTCATAGTTAATAATTTATGGTATTGCTTAGCAAATAGCATTCCACTTAGAAGGCCTTACATTTCATGAAATAAAACTAATCAAATATTTTTCATGTGCCAATCTATGTCATAGCTGAAAGTGGGCATCATCGTGTATGTACAGTAACTATATATGTAGTTTTTCTTATGCATTTCAATATATACTATGTCTAGATACATAGTAAAAGCAATATGTATTAAAAAATCAAAATATTTTATATTAGGATAGAGAAAGTATTATTTAGATAAATCGCTTTAACATAATAATTGTTGTCCCGTAGTAACGCACGGGCATTCATCTAGTCAACACTTAAAAAAGAACAATAGTGACACTTAAAAAGAACAAGGAGTAGTTTTGTTCTAAATTATAAACTGTTTTGGTTTTTCTACCTACACAGATATCGCTAAGAATCTAGATATATGTTATGCAAAAGTATTATCTACTCCTAAAAAGGTGAAACAGGACCCGTTCACTCCCCCGTGATGAAGCCGCTAGCCCAGGCGTCCGTAACTCCTATTTGCGCGGACATGTGGGCCACGCACTCGACACCGCGACTACACCCCACTGAGCACCCCGCTCCAATCACACGCCCTCTCCGTCCTCCCAAGCGCTACACTGAAGCCGGCGCTCCAGTCTGCGGTCTGCCGCCTCCTTGGCTGCTGGCCTGCTGCAACTCCAGCGCCCCAGCCCCACTCCACTCCACCGGCCTCCTACCCCCGCGAGGGGCACGACCTGAGAACACCACCACCATCACGCACCGCCTCCAAACCCTAGCCCCTTCGCTCCGCCGCGCCGCCGCATCGTCGTCCCCGGCCTTCGCCCGCACCGCGCCCCTCTCCACGTCGCCGGCGGCCGCGTTCCGGCGCACGTCGCTTCTCTTCTCCTCTCCCGGCCCTCAGATCTCCAGCAGCACTGCAACAGTTACTTCCTTGCTCCTCCAAGCTGATCGGCTTGTTCTGACACATCGGTGGTCTGGCCGCGCAGGCGACAAGCCGGCGCCCACCAAGGTCGAGGATGTCACGCCGAGGCGGAGCTCCAGGTGAGGGGTCACTTTGGGTTCGGAATCTCCACTTGATTTCGGCGACATTTGACGTGGGTTTTGATGCGTTTTCTTCAGGGGAAGAAGCGGTTCGACATGGATCTTCCCGTCAGCCCCTTCGGTACTAAGGTGAGGTGCCTGGCTACCTTCTGCCCTGCGATTCAGCTGACTGTGAGATCACGCTAGCTGTTTGGTGTGGTGTAGAAAAATGTGCACAGTAGTTTCTTCCTCAAGCTGAGTTCTACTAGAACCGTGTAATTCAATAATTAGTGGCGCTTTTAGAATTGCCCGCAGAGTACCTACTCCAGACCCTGTTGTGCAATTGCTCAATAGAAGGAAGTGCTGTGAAACTGTCAATGTGACATTGTCTCATTGTCGTGTTCAGGTCTCCACATTTCAATAACTAGCAGATGCTCGTGTGTTGCTACGGGAACCTTAAAATTTTCAATGCAATTCAACACAATAAAAGTAAGAAAAAAACAGTTGGTTAGGAGCCTCAAATTTTCAACGTGTAAGATTATAAAAAATAGTTGGTCGAAATCAAGACAAATAAATTTGTACTTGGCTTAGCAACATACTGTTTCGAGCCACATTCAAATAAATAAACGTCAAATTTAGTAACAATGTCAAAATAAGTGCATGATAGATAAGTCCTTCACAAACTGAGAATATTTGTATGCCTGTAGCAACGCTTGGCACTGGGAATATTTGAGTAGCATGTGACTGTCCCTTATAACCCCACAATGTAAGGGAAGAATGTTGTATCAAAATGTGACTACCAGTTGAATGTCTCAGAAATATAACTTGAACTTCAGCAATAAATTAGTCTTTTAAAATATTTTTAGCCTTCAAAAGGGAGCCTGCTTGAGAGTTTTTGAGCTAATATTTGGCCTTGACTATGGGATTAGAATTACTATACTCTAAAATGCCATGCCTTATTGATATTACCCAATCTGTGTTTTCTATGCATTTTGTCTTAATTTTGCATCTTTGGCTCCCTGGGAACGCATTGTTTGAGATGCCAATGGTTGTTAGGCTTAGGCTTCTGCATTTGGACAATGAAGCAGATAGGAAATCTAGATTCCCAAAGAGATGGTTCCCATCAACAAAGATTCAACAAGTTGCTAAATGACATTGGCACTGATCTTGTCAATCTGTTTCCAAATAAGTTTATTTGGGCAAGGTTTGATAGACTGCCTATGGATTCTTGAATGACACTAGTTATTTGGTTATTTGCAAGGCCTAGAAACTGGAGGTTTCTCAACTGTCCCAATTTTGGTGGAATCTCCCCTTGTAGGTTGTTCTCATTGAGATTGAACAAAAGCAAGGTGTGGTTGGTCAGTCAACTGGAATCATTCCAGTCAGGTTATTCATTGACAAGGATATTTGCAGTAAGGTTTAGAAGTGTTGCCAGCCATAACAGAACAGAACAAGTGAAATTATTCACAGCAACTTAGAGTGTGTCAAGGTTCTGACATGCAGAAAGTCCTAAAGGGATGGACCTGTTGAATAGGGAGGTGAAAGCTCTCATTTCCAGGAATGGGACATGAGAGATTGTTCCGTCACACAAATAGACTTGATGCTGGGAAATATTAGACAAAGAAGGTGGCATGGAGTTCGAGCTTTTTTTTCCTGGACAAGCATCTGCAGCTTTAGTAATGAGCTGGCACTATCAAGAATTGCTTTTGTCAAATCTGTCGGTGCGAAATGTGGCCAACAAGTAAATATTTGTAGTTTTACTGTGCGTTGTGATCGGATGTGGCCTACCACTCAATGACACAGGATTTATACTGGTTCAGGCAATATGCCCTACGTCCAGTTGAGGTCGGTCGGTGACTTTATTCCTGAGCCCAGGTGCTCGAAGTTTGTTGTGGGGTTACAAACGAGTAATGAATGAGAAGGGGGGTGTTAGAGGCCCGGTCGGACTCTGAGCTGAGTGGCAGAGAGTGACGGATGCTCAAACGTGCGCTAAGTATTGGAGCGTATGCTCTGTGTGTCCGAGCTTATCAGCTGTTGAGAGCGTGTAGCTGTCGAGCTCTAGAGCCGTTGTGTTGTTGTCCTCGAGTCCTTGAGTCTTCGAGTCTTCAGGGCTTCGGGAGGTTCGAAGCTTCTGTCCTTCTGGTAGGAGAGAGCGCATCACTTTTTATTGTTGAAGGGGATGGCCCTACAAGTCAGAGAGAAAGAGAGAGTTCATACGGACGCTGCCTAGTCTTGTTGCCCACGTCATCGGGTACGGGATGGTCGTCGGCGCCTATAATACTGTTTATGTTCAGACGCGTCTGGCAGGCTCTACCATGTTCGCCTGGTACTGCAAACGACGGCGCCTACAATAATGTTTATACTCGGACGCGTTTGGCAGGCTCTACCGTGTTCGCCTGACATGCCCCGATGGCACCGTCCTGTAGGTGCGCAGGGCATGGCAGGGTACGGTCCTTGGTATTGCGGTTGACTTAAGCGCCTTACCTTATCTGCTCCGCCTGCTCCCGGGGCCCATATCGAGCGGGCGTCCCAGGTTGGTCGCTCCCAGTCGTCCCCGACCGTGTCGGTCGGGAAAGAGCAGCGAGCAGAGGTCCTGTCATATTCTCGGTCGGAGAAAGAGGGTTGGAGTCGGACTGCAGTCCCACCACGGCCAGGCCTTCCGGTCGCACCTCCGATCAGATCTCCTGGCCGGAGGTGCCGGTCGGGGACCGGATCGTGGTCTTAACCTGTCATTGTGTATCTGGGTCGGCCCAGGCGCTGTCGCTGCGCCGTCTGTTGGGCCAAGTTTTGCAGGGAAACGGGTCCATTGAAAACCCCGGATTTACGAACCCGACACAACCTATTCAAGCCGAGACATATTTGGCTCAAATTGGGTGTGCTGTTGAACAAGCCCTGGGGAATTCGTCCGCTTGGGAGAACACAAACAAGCAGAACTCATTTTGCTGGAAAAAGGGCATCTCATGGTATCTTATTGATGACCAAACATTTCATCAGTTACCCTTCATTGCAGGTATCCGATACCCTGCACTGCTGATTTGTCACCATGTAGTAAGAATTGGCCATAATCCAAAAAAAATTGGCCTTTACATCTGTGTATTGCAGAGAGATTTATTGCTTAGCATGGAGGAGGCTATACAAAACTACTAGCTGCGTTGTAGCATCGACAATGTAAGGATTCTATTTGTTACT